CGATAAGGTCTTGAAATGGTTCAAGATGCAAGATTCCAGGAAAGGAACCTTACCGATGAGCGGTAGCATAGTTCACTGCATGAGTCAGTGTCCTACGACACCTGATGAGCGAGAACGCATGGATCGGATTCCATATGCTTCGGCAATTGGATCGATCATGTATGCCATGCTTTGTACTCGACCGGATGTATCCTACGCGTTGAGCATTACGAGTAGATATCAGTCAGATCCAGGTGAGTCGCACTGGATCGCCGTCAAGAACATCCTTAAGTACTTGAGAAGGACTAAGGATGTATTCTTGGTATACGGTGGGTCAGAAGACGAGCTCGCTGTAAAGGGTTATACCGATGCTAGTTTCCAGTCAGACCCGGATGACTACAGATCGCAGTCTGGCTATGTTTTCTGCTTGAACGGAGTTAGCTGGAAGAGTTCCAAGCAAGCGACCGTTGCAGATTCTACTACAGAAGCTGAGTATATTGCAGCGTCAGACGCAGCAAAGGAAGCTGTTTGGATCAGAATGTTTGTTGGTGACTTGGGTGTCATTCCTAGTGATGATAGCCCCATTGCTCTGTATTGTGACAACAATGGAGCGATCACACAAGCGAAAGAACCCAAATCCCATCAACGATCCAAACACATACTCAGACGATTTCACCTTATTAGGGAAATCATAGGCAGAGGAGACGTGCACATTTGCAGAGTGTCGACAGATGACAATATTGCCGATCCGTTGATGAAGCCTCTCCCTTCGTCGAACCATGAGGGTCATGTTAGGGATATGGGCATTAGATGTTTAGCAGTCCATGATTAGAGCAAGTGGGAGATTGTTGGTTGAGTGCTCTATGATGTACTGTTTGCGAGCTTTTCTGATGATACATTTGATGTATTGACACTTTCTATGAGTTTATAGTTAAGTGTTTGATTCATTACGTATTGTGCATACCTGATATGTTATGAAATCCATGTATTGTTATGAACAATACTAAACTCCCTATCGTGTATCATTGTGGGAATAATGATATAACAAGACTAGAATGATGTGTGATTGATGATCATATAGATGATCATAGGTATTGGATACGATCACAGTCATAGGTATTCGTTGGAGAACGGAATACTGGATTGACCCACATGAGATTGTCACATGGACTAGCGTCATGACTTGAATCTCATATGGCGGTTCCATGATTGGATCCTGAGACCTGAGATATCTACGGAATCCAACATGAGGAGTTGCGTGCTTTGAATACGTCAAACGTCCTGCGTAACAGGAGGACTATAAAGGCGTGTATCAGGTACGAAACGAATCATGTGCCGGATTGTAGATAGTCAAGATGGGATTTGTACCTCTCGTAAAAGAGAGAGATATCGCTGAGCCCCTCGTGTGAGCGAGACTGTAGAAATGTGTGGCCGCACTATAGACGAACATCGTCTATGTCAGACAGTCGAACTCAGTGAACGAGAAAGTAGTCGAATCAGATAAGGTGGTTTGTCCATGCCTTATGTTCGACATATGATATCGCA